CCTGCCTACTCTGGACCATCAGACAACAGACTAGGTACTTTGGTACTTGGTATGTGTGTGTGTATATATATATATATATACACACACTACTATATATATATATATTCCACTTACTACATATAATAATTCTATAAACTAGCCCTTGATATGGTCATTTTAGAGATAAAAGACTGAGACTTTGAAAGTGTAAACAATTTGCTCAAGGTTGCTAAGGGTTTCAGACAGATTTGAAATTCAAGCTCAGGTCTATCTGACTCCAAAACCTGCATACCTGAGCCCAGAAACAAACCCTAATATAATATTTAGCTTACTGAAAATGAAGCATAAAAAATCAGTACAGAAAATAATATTCAATTAATGGTATTGGGACAACTAGCCGTCATATCTCAGGATGGGAAACCATCTTATAAACACAAAAACAATTAGAGACACCAAAGAGAAAAAGAAAAACCAAATATTATAAAAAATATTCAAATTCTGGAAAAAGGCAATTGAAATTAAAAAGCAAAATAACAATCAGAAAAACATGTATAAAAATTGAATGAAAAGCTGACGTGTTCACACATAAAGAGATCATAAATTCAATATGAAAAAAGCAACAACCACAAAAAAGGGCAAAAACATTAATCAAATAAAATGATACATGGGCCGGGCACAGTGGCTCACACCTGTAATCCCAGCACTTGGGAGGCCGAAGAGGGTGGATCACTTGAGGTCAGGAGTTTGAGGCCAGCCTGGCCAACATGGTGAAATCCTGTCTCTACTAAAAATATAAAAATTATCTGGGCGTGGTGGCATACACCTGTAGTCCCCGCTACTCAGGAAGCTGAGGCAGGAGAATCGCTTGAACCCGGGAGGTAGAGGTTGCAGTGAGCAGAGATTGCGCCACTGCACTCCAGCCTGCACAATAGAGCAACACTTCATCTCAAAAAAAATTATAATAAAAATAAATAAATGAAAATAAAATGATATATGTATTATTTTTCTATATTTTATAAATTAAAATTAAAACGTACTATCTCACTAAAAATTTTTTAAATTAACATTACAATAATGAGAAACAACCTTCTATCCATGAAAATGGAAAAGATTTTAAAGATACTAATATCCATTGTTATTAAGTTTATGGCTAAAAACAAGAGGCACCTTCATGGTCAATCAAGAGAATATAAACAAGTAATTCTAGAAAACAGTTTAGCAATAATACTCATTAGCCTAATAATTTTCATTCTAATTTCCATGTAAAGAAATTGTCAGAAACTCAAATAATAATTAAAATTTAAAAATTCTCTAGATGCTCAACAACAGTTTACTGGTTAAGTGAAATGTTCCACAAACAGGACAGGGTGGGTTTGGTACCTGAGGAACAACTCAGCCGTTTTCTATTGCAAATCTGAAAAATGCAGGTAGCAAGTCACTGGAGGAATAAATGGTTCCACCTTTTAAAATGACGAAATAGCCTTTGAAAACCACTAGCTTAATATATTGCCATATATACAGCTCAGGTTACACCACTAAAACTGGTCTCGAAGAACATAAAAGGTATGGAAAACACAATATAATATTAAAGGTTTTAAAGGTATAAATTGCATATGCTATACATAATATACACATGCGGCCAGGCGCGGTGGCTCACGCCTGTAATCCCAGCACTTTGGGAGTCGAGGCGGGCGGATCACGAGGTCAGGAGATCAAGACCATCCTGGCTAACATGGTGAAACCCAGTCTCTACTAAAAATACAACAAAATTAGTCGGGCATGGTGGCGGGCGCCTGTAGTCCCAGCTACTCAGGAGGCTGAGGCAGAAGAATGTCGTGAACCTAGGAGGCGGAGCTTGCAGTGAGCCAAGATCATGCCACTGCACTCCAGCCTGGGCGACAGAGTGAGACTCCATCTTAAAAAAAAAAAAAAAATTTATATATATACACACACACACACACACACACACGCTAAAAACATGTGGATTTTTCCTTGTTTGTACATTTTAGTATT